GGATCTAAGTACTGCGCTAAGGTTCCAAGTAGCACAACTAGTCCTTGACGTAAATTGTCGTGCTCTCCACCATTTGGCGTAGCATCGGAAAGATTTTCTAAAGGCATGACTTTGATTGCTGGCAAAAACGGAAGAAATCATGGATATACCTAGGAATGGAAGCAACTCAGGCATTATGTCTTTGCCGTGCTTACGAATAACTTCCACAGCTGCGTTACGCATCCCATTTCGACACTCTGCACTACGGTCAGCCAAGCCATGAGGAGCCACCTGTACTTGAGGTTACAATCAAAGGCGCAGTCAGCAAAGAGAAATTTGAAGGACTGGGAGTAAAGAGAGAAAAGTAATGACAGATGTGAACAAAAAGAATTTGAGCAAGAAAAGCAGCAGCTCACAAGCTTGATGAATCGCATGGCGTCTCCTACTCGAACGTGCTCAGCTAGTCGTCCCAATACCAATCCAACCCCACTTCGTCTGGCCCATTCATCTCTGCTTTCCATGACCACTCTTCCAACTTCATCGTAAACTGCAGGACGGATTTGAGCGAGATCTGTATACACCTGGAAGAGTGGGAGTAAGATAGAATGTTTTATCAGTTTGCAAAAACGAACGTCATCGAGCTTATTTAAAAGAACAGGCATGCTGATAACGATTTCTTGAACGAAAGCCGATGTTGCATTGGCCGCTGATTCACGCACAAAAGCGACACCAGATACACATTTATCTAAAGAAAAAATTCTGTATGAGTGAATTAAACAGGTTCAGTATAAGCTTACCAATAAGTGGTTCAGCCATCTCAGGCTTCAAATGGAACGAGGAATCATACCACAACTTCTCCGCATTATCAGCTACAGCTTCAAATGAGTCAAAACGTGCAATAAAAATGCGAACAAGACAGTCAATGGGGAAGTCGGGATCTTGCGTGGAGAGAACAAGGCGAGTGAGTAGATTTGGTGCCGATAATACCTAAACTAATAAAACTTTGGAACTTCAATTACCCAAGCTTTGAGATTGCAAAAGTCAAACACTATAGTCATGCCGTTTGTCATTAATCAGAAGGTGGAGAAAATTCAGTGTATCAGCAATAATTCAATAACAGAGATTTTCTGCCAAGAATTTCATAACAGTTATTCTAAAGTCTGGTAAAACATAGAATATGAACTGTAAACTTGTAAATTTCGGAAGAAAATAGTTATACCTTCCACCCTAATATCCTTCTGAAACACAAAGCAATGATACACTTTAACATTGAAGGAAGAAGTTTCTGATATCCTACTATGCACTACTATACGCTGATGCTATTACAAAGATCGTGTACGCCAATATTTTCATAGTAAAGAATAACAACATGATGCGATAAAAATGGCACTTATCATGAATGACGTGCGATGAAGGTGGTTTATGACTTACCTTCAAAACAGTTACTCTGACATCACAGCTTTCATCGTCCAAATATTTCAAAGCACCTCTCGCTAGACTGACAACTCTTGGCCCTGTGTCTTCAGTCTCATTAGCAAGGGAAGCCAGCTGCACCAGAGCCTGCAATATTCATAATTTTGAATCGTCAACACGTCATTCACTCAGAAAAGGAGCAAAAAAGTTGCCAACTCTAAATTGAACACGAATATGACGCAACAAAAATGGTTGCCAAGGTAATGGCAGATTAACAGCAAATTCAAAAAGTACCTGTTTGGAAGATGCAGTCAAATTTCTTGCGTATTCCGTAAGTAACAGCGTTGCATACTCATTCATAGGGAGCTGGAGCACTGACCCATCCTAGAAGATGATAGTTTCATGAAAATGCCTTACATTTGGTTGGTGTTTCCAAGGGGTCGTTCAAATAATAACTGCAGCCGCCATGATCTGCCAGCCACATGTGAGAGTGTTGAATTCACGGATGTATTAAGAAATCCTTGATAAGCTTCTCAAGCGGCTTACCTTCAAGAAACGCTTATGAATAGCATTCTGAAGTAAGGTCAATGTAGCATCCTTGATACTGTCAGAATAACCATTCGA